AAGACTGCAACTCTGCTTTGACTCTGTCCTGACTCTGTTTAGCAGAATAAAGGGAATCTCTGCAGTGGAAGATGGGAAGAACTTGCAGTTAAGATTTATTAACACATTTCAAACAATGGTGACACACACTGGATGTCAGTGGCTCACTCCTATAATCCTAGCTACTCAGGTGGCTAAGATCTGAGGATTGCTGTTTGAAGCCAGCCTGAGCAGGCAAATCCATGAGACTCTTACCTCTAATTAACCATCAAAAAGCCAGAAGTGGAGCTGTGGTTGTTCAAGTAGTAGAACACTAGTCTTGCTGGGGAAAGAAAAGATACAAGGACAAGATGGGCTCCTTCTTCTGGTGGGTATATTGTGTTTGTATGTAATGGCTGGCAACTATGACAGCTGTCTCTTAATTAGGAAACACAAGAGCACAAAGACAATCCAAAGTAATGAGGATGATAGAATGAAAAACAGCAATAACTTTTGGGGGGATGTTGAAGTGTGTGTGTGTGTGTGTGTGTGTGTGTGTGTGTGTGTCTGTGTCTGTGTCTGTGTCTCTGTGTGTGAGCGTGTGAGCGTGTCCTGGGGCTTGAAGTCAGGGCCTGGCACTGTCCCTGAGGTTTTTTTCCTCAAGGATAGCACTCTACCTCTTGAACCTCAGCTCCATTTCTGGCTTTTGGGGAGTTAATTGAGATGAATTTCACTGACTTACCTTTCTGGCCTGGCTTTAAACATTCCTTTCATCTCATCCTCCTGAGTAGCTAGGATTATTGGCCCAATTCCTGGCTTGGAAATAACTTTTTGAGTATTCCATTCACCTAATGATTAACATTAGGATTAATAATAAGCTTCATTCCAGCCTAAAGTGGTTCAACAGTTCTAAAACTATAGATCTTTACCTTACCTACCCAAGTCAATGAAACCATGTCAAATGTAATTCTATAAACCTCTTCTAGGGTTGGTCCTAGTGAAGGAGTTAATGTTCCTAAGTCATTCTCTCCTGTAGTCACTTTGCTGACATTTTGGAATCCAGGAAGGGTCAGACCACCTGAGAGACACCATGGACTCTTATTGTATTAAGGCCCTACCTGACCAATCCTGAGATAGCAGGCTATCAGACTTTTTGAAACAATCCATATTTTTCCCTAATAAACTTTCCTATCACTTTCACCAAATAAAATAAACTTTAAAACCCCAGCTTAAGCCACTGACTTTAAAACACTTTTCCTTGGGACTTATGACATCATCAATTTTCTTTATTGTTTATGCATGTTGAGTCAGGGCCACCTACATTTACACCTCTATAGACAAAAGATCACTGAAGATGAACAGAATCGATTAGTAAAACAAAGATCACATTCAGATTGTTGAGGCAGGATGGAAATATGGAAAGGATCAGGTTTGGAATGGCTCTTCTTTGAAACTGCAACAGTTGAAAACATTTCACACAACTTACACTAGTGGTCCTTAGCCTTAATATATCTTGCAAAACACCCTGAGAAGCTTTCAAACTTGCTGTCTGTTGCCCAGGTTACAAACTCCAAGGTATTACCTTAGAATCTTGGGAAGTACACTACCTTTTAATATTTTTTAAAGCTTACCAGGTTATTATGACACAGAACCAAGGTCAAGAACATTAGCTTGAAGGACGTTCCAAATCCAGTAGTGTTACCCACACAATGATAAAAGAGAAAATGGCCAAGAAGCCAGGCATCTGGAAACTGCATGCTCTGAGTTTGAGATTCCTGCCCAACAGCAGCAGAGTTCATTCAGCTATAGCTCCCAGTAGCTACTGGAAAATTCTATGGAGAACTTGGATATGAACACCAAGAAACACTCTCCCTTGGCAGACTTAAAGACCAGCAGAACTTCTGAACTCCCATCAGAAAATGTATGGTTCACTCCCACATTTAGACCAGTCTAAAGGAGAGTTGTGGGCTGGGAATGTGGCTTAGTGGGAGAGTACTTGCCTAGCATGCAGGAAGCCCTGGGTTGGATTCCTCAGTACCACATGAACCAAAAAACCTGGAAGTGGTGCTGTGGCTTAAGTGGTAGAGTGCTATCCTTGAGCAAAAGAAGCCCTGGGTTCAAGTCCCATGACTGGCAAATGATAATAAACAAATAAATAAAAATAAACAGAGCGTTGTAAATTTAGAAGAGTTCTTCCTTAAGCAAATGAAACTTTTTTGGCAGAGAATATTATGTACTTCAAATCAAGCCCTACTCCCTTGTTATATTTTAAAGGCAGAGCTGCTGCTCCTATTGAGATAGCCTGATATGAAATGCCAATAATTCCATTTGATCATTAAGACCCAAGGAGCACCCCGCTGCTTGACCCTAGCAATCCAGGGATACACAAACATTAGGCAAAGTTGGCACAGCCAGCCACAAGAGCTGGCCAGAGTTACACCAGCCTGGAAATAAGCCCCCTTTTCAGACAGGGAGCCATTAAAGAAGGCCATTAAAGTCTCTATGGGAAACTTCAAGGAGGAAGTGTGAAGATCAAGAAGAAAACTAGGCCAAAAGCTACTGATCAGTCGATCGATTCAGCCTGGCATTAGTCAGTCAGGACCTTAGACTGGTTACTTCTCCTGCTTCTTTTATAAAGTTTCTTCTTTTATAAAGTTAGACACTTGAATCCCATAGTTTTCAAGATTCCTGTTAGACACAACCTTGAACATTCTCCATTGCCTGGAAAAGAAATATTCTCTACCCAAGCATCAGCATGAATAGAGTGCCAGAAGGGACAAAATAAGGGTGATGAACTATGGAGTCAGCTGACAGTATGAGAGAACACAGTCCAGGAACGACTTGGGCAACACAAGACAGGAGGCCTCAGATAAAGGACATGGGGACAGTTGCTAGTCAACTCCACATAGCTGCTGCTTTCTATGAGAAAAGACCTTATAATTTTTAGAAGAAAAAAATGAAATCCAGTGCTGGGAAGGTGTCTCAGTGGTAGAGAGCTTGCCTTGCATGCCTGAGGCCCTGGGTTCGATTCCTCAGCACCACATAAGCAAAAAGAAAAAAGCCGGAAGTGGCACTGTGGCTCAAGTGGTAGAGTGCTAGCCTTGAGCTGAAGAGCTGAGGGACAGTGCCCAGGCCCAGAGTTCAGGCCCATGACTGGACCCCCCCCCAAAAAAAAGGAAATCCACACCTTATATAATCTGCCAATTGTTATATCTTGGCAATGTTATTTTTTTAAATCCTCTGTTGGCAGGGAAGAGAGCATGACAGAGGGAGTGAAATGGATTGTAACATGTAAAACTGTAACAATAGAATTCCCCCTCCCCCCCTTAACTAAATGGAAGCTAATAAAAATAAATGTGTGTCAAATAAAATATATCTGTGGTCAGTTATACCTTGTAAATATAATTTACAACCACTGATGCAGTGGATACTAGGATATAAAAGTTTATTCTTAATTGGCCCTTAGCAGAACATTGATCATTGATTACTCCTTCATTTTAAGATATATTGTGCAGAAGCCCTTTCTGTGTCAGGTATAAACTGGAACAGTAACTACATATGGTTCATGAATCTGTTGTCCTTCACGTGATGCTCCTCCTTTAGTCCAAAATGATAGTCACTGCCCATGCCGGGGGCCCTTCTGTAACTCCAAGCTTCCCTCCTCAGGAAAGTGCTGGAGCTCAAGAAGTAGGAGCAGCCACCTCCTCATCCCTAGCCATACCAGCTCCTCCCCATTTTAAAGCTGAGGTGACTTCCAAGATAACCCTCACCCAGGAGAGAGCAGTTTAACTACAGATAAAGACAGTCCCAACAGATTAACTCCCTGCCCTTGGGCTCCAATTCCAGGGGTCAGGTGGAAGGACACTTGGTCGCCAGGAGACTGTGGCCTCATGAATACTTTTGTACTTCCTGGACCAAACTAACTCTGCTTGGTTGTTCCCAAATAGTTGAATGTCAGTTGATAATTTGATGAATTGTAGGTTTGAGGAAGAACACATTCTCAGGTCTTCTATCAAACACATTTATTCCTAAAGTGAGAAGCTCCTAAAGGATAGCTAAAAGAAACTGAAATATTTACAGTAGAAAAATCATGGACACTAGTAAAAGCTCAAATACAGTCATAGCTGAGTTACTCTAACACCACTTTTCCAGCATAGAAGAAATTAACTGCATTCTCTTAACATTTCTCAATAGACATGCACAAGGATGAATCAAACATTTCAGGACTCCAGTCCTCAAGATCTTCCTGAATGGATTTATGCACACATGAAAAGAATTCACACCCAAAAAAAGAATTCACATCCTTTCTTTAAATATAAAAAAAAAAGAGCAGCAGCATTTGACTTCAAAGGAAAGTAAAACAACACAAAAACAGCAACAAAATAGACTGCTCCTTCTATGTGCAAGGTACTGGATTCTGGTATTGAGAATCTTAATGTCAGTCCTCACTTCAAACATAATATCAAAAAAGCATGACAAGAAGATGACTCACCTTCAATATGAAGGATGTGAGTTGTGTACACTGACAACAATCTTGAAGGTAGAACAGTACTTCAGGAACAATGCCAGTGAGTGGACCTTTGTATAAGGTCAGAAACTCATGCATTATAAAATATTGGGTTAAACAACTACATTATTTTTGGTTTAATCAAGGCACTTGTAAAAAACCATCTTTGACATATGTGGATTCCTGTGTGCTGTTAGCCACTGGAAATGGCATGAATAGTTGGCTATAACATTCTATACCAAGAACCCAAGTACAATGCCTTGATCACAAAGTCATTTATAATATTAGGACTTCAAAGACAGATTCAGTTAAGCTTGCCCCAAATCGTGAGTTTTTTTTTTTAATAGACCATGATTAAACAGAAAGGCTTTACTTAAGGTCTTGAGTCTCCAAAATTATAGTTCATCTTCCCAAAACACCATCCAATATCCTAAAAGTTTATTTGGCTTTTCTCCACAAGAATACATAGAATAGACCTCTTCCCTCTCTTCTGTTATTTCTCCAGGAGAAATAGTTGTAAACCCAACTTCAAAACACAAAAATAACCTTACAGTTTCACCAACAAAAATTAAATGTTCAGACCTCAACTCCTACTCTGACTCAAGCCTCAGAGCTATTTGCATACCCCTTTCACACACTCTTCCTCACACCATTAACACAGCTTTCCATCACCATCAACTGTCCTTCTTCAACTTTTTCTTGCCCAATGTGAAAGCTAGTAACCGAGAGGGAAGACAGGAAGGACACTGGAAAGAAAAAAAAAGATTACTTAAACAGTAATAGTTCTCAGGCAGTTACTTGATCATCTAGAACAAAATGATGAGTAGAATCATCTGTCTGGATACCAACACTAACTTCTCAAGTGGCTCCTATTTTTCTGGTGCCAGGCCCTGAAGGTTCAAACCTAAACCTATCAGTAGAAAGTAGCAAAGGCTTCCTAATATTGAGCAATACAGATATAGAATTGCATGGGGACTACCACAGGTCAAGATCAGTCACTAGGTTGCTTAATTCATCGGTAAGAGGCCAAATTCTCCAATCTCCCCCAGCTCTGCCATTCTGGGAACAGTCCACTGGCCAACCTCGGACTGCCAAAGATGGTTGACTCCAGCTCAGTCTTGGGGGGCATCTGGCTGAATGCACAGTCCTGGGGTGCCATCTGTGTCTGCACCCCATCTGGTTTCCACTGCACATGAACAATTCTGTAATTCTGGCCCTTGTTGTTGTCCCAGAAGACTTGCCCGTTAGCTTGATATGAAATGCAGAACTCAATTTTCTCCTCAATTGGGATGACAGAGGGTAAGTCAATGGCAAAGGAGAAGGTGTCGCTATCTGAGCTGCCGTACACATTCTTCATGTAGACACAGTCCACATCCGTATAGCTTTTCCACGAGTCAAACGTAATGCGGACCTGAACCTTCTTTTCAAAGCTCATGTTTTTCACTTTGATTGTCCCAGTCACTGTCCGTTCTTGCAAAGAGCAGTTCTCCAGACAGACAAGGTTCTTCTGAAAATGATTCCGGAAACTTAAGTAATCAGTTGAAGGCTGAGGAAAATCTAAAATCAGGGTTTTCTCCTCATGGAGTTTTAAACCAGAGGAGATATCATTAAGGTCCAAGAGATCAAATTGGAGGTCCCATGCAGGTTCTTCTGGAAGGTCAGAGAAAACGTGGACTGCAGTGAGAGATAGGCCCTTGGAGTCGGCAAATACAACCCGCTTCTTGGCTTGGTTGTGTGAGTGTTTCCATTCTTTCTGTGATTTGGCTTCCTGTTTGAGGTTGAGACATGATTTCAAAGGCTTCAATTTATTCACAAAATTTTTTCGTTGAAAGTCATTGTAAGGGCCCAAGAAACTCTTCAGAGGTGGCGAATGAGCCAGGCAAAACCTCATGGCCATATCCATTGGCATGACTGAACTGGTCAGAGGACGTGGGTCCAAAACCTGGATCATTCTGGATTGCAAAAAGGAAGGAGATTATGACCTAGATCTGAAATGCTCAGCCTGGTCCCAAATATATATTCCTATTTTTATACTCACTGAATTATGGCCAGTGCAGTAAGTAGCAGGGAGGTGCTATCCTATGTAGCATAAAAGTGTCAGGGGATCAGACCTGCATTCCATCCTGTGCCCACGGCTAGCCACTGGGTTGTGGCCTAACTGCTGAACTTGGAAGGGGTTCAGATTCCCCATCTGAGATGGTTGTATTTCATGATATCTATTACAATTGTAAGAGCAATTTGCTCTGTTCTATTCTTTTGGGGAGGATAGGGAGGAATTGGGATTCAAACTCAGGACCTCTCATTTGGAGTTTACCACTTGAGCCACACACCCCAGCCCTTTTTTGTTCAAGTTCTGTTTTTTTATAGGTTCACACATATACCAGAGCTGGCCTGTACTGTGATTCCTGCAGAGCTGGGCTAACAAATGCACACCACTCCACTCAGATTATTAGTTGAAATTGGGTCTCACTAACATTTTGCCCCAGCTGACTTCAAACTTCAACCGTCAATCTCTACCTCCAAAGTAAATGGAGGTGGCCTAAACCAAAGATTCTTAAACCTGATACTCCGAGACCTAAAGCTATTAGAGAAGAACCTCTGGGGATAATGCCCATGAGGTGAATATATTCTTAAAGCTTCCCCAGAGAGTTTAGTGACCAGATAGCTTCTCCCAATACCATAGTTCCAAGCCCTCTGCTTACTGCTTTTTTGTTTATTGAACTGATTACATTTCTCTAGATCAAGTGAAAGCCCAAAGCAGCAACCAGGAGTGAAAGACTAGGGAGTAGAAGTCAGAATTATCTTTGTATTCCATTTATTATGTTCTTCCTCATTGTTCAAACAACCAATGGAAACACAATCTAACAGCGTGTACACAAACTTTCCAGACACTATTTCATATAGAAAGACACATGTGGGGCTGGGAAGGTGGCTCAGTGGTAGAGTGATTGCCTTGCATGCATGAGGCTCTGGGTTTGATTCCTCAGCCCCACATAAGCAGAAAAGGCTGGAAGTGGCACTATGGCTCAAGTGGTAGAGCACTAGCGTTGAGCTGAAGAGCTGAGGGAGAGTGGCCAGGCCTAGAGTTCAGGCCCCATGACCAACAAAATAAAAAGAAAGAAAGAAGGAAAGGAAGGAAGGAAGGAAGGAGGGAGGGAAGGAAGGAAGGAAGGGAGGAAGAAAGGGAGGGAGGAAGGAAAGAAGGAAAAACTGGGGCTGAAGGAATAGTTCAAGTGATAGAGTATCTGCCTGGCCAAGTATAATTCCCTGAGTTCAAGCCCAACTACCATCCAAAACTGGTTGTCTTTATAAGATGCTAGATACAGTCATTTGTTCACTATAATAAGTATTTTACTATTTGAATGTTTTAAATATATACAATAAAATTTACCTTTTAAAAATCTAACTCCTAGAGAACTGAAATGTTATTAAGTATTTATTAGACATATGAACTTACAAATAGTTTTAAAGCTTCATAGGAAATGTACTAAAAAGTAATCTATGAGTAGGAATGCAATGAACTTTTTTTTTTTTGCCAGTCCCCAGACTTTTACTTGGGCCTGGGTACGGTCCCTAAGCTGCTTTTTGCTCAAGGCTAGCCCTCTACCAATCGAGCCACAGCGCCACACCCAGCTTTTTTGAGCTGTATATTGGAGATAAGAGTCTCTGGAGTTTCCTGTCTGGACTGGCTTCTAACCACCATCCTCAGATCTCTGCCTCTAGAATAGCTAGGATTACAGACATGAGCCACCAGCACCCACTGGCAATGACCATTTTTAAGAAAGACAGTAAGAGCTATATAAAATTTAAACCTATCTAAATCCACCTATGTTCAACTGTGTTAAACTAAAAATCACTGGCCAAGAGTTAAAAATATACTTTGCTCCAACTCTGAGGCTGAGTTTGCTACTGCAAACCATAGAGTGGGAGAGAAATGAATGCAGATCTCACTAGTAATTTTTGTCTCCCAAGCTAACCACGAATACCAGAGTGCTGTCAAACATTAAGCTTCCCCCAAGTACTTGGGACAGTGTGCAGAGAACAGTGCGCCAAAGAGGGGATCCAAACTAAAGCTGACTCATGTGACGACCATTTCTGATTAGATGCTGATTAGAAAACAAAAGGGGGTGCAAGAAAAAAATTAAAATGCACACCGACAATTTGTGCATCCTCAAAGGCCTCCGCGGTGGCAGATTTGACTCAGCAGCCCCTCAACCGACCCTGCCCCCAGGGTCTTCACTTGCAGACGTGACGTGACAAAAATGCAACCTCCCCCCACCCCCGACTTCTCCGCAGCTGCCAGCTCCCCTCTATTCGTGGAGAGAGAGTTGCCCTGAACCTACCTGGTGCAGCTCATGAGGCTGGGAGGCAGCAGCGGACCGACAGAGCCGTCACCCTCACCCGGACCCACCACCTCTCCAGTAGACTGCGGGAGGCCCAGCCCCAGAGCGGGTTTATCAACGCCCAACCACGTGAACGGATCCCTCCAGCCAATCGCCGGGCCGCGGGCCGGATGGCGCGACCAATCAGCGCTCAGCTGGAGCGCGAGCCTCCACCGGCGAACGTGTTCTCCACGGGTGTGCTGGGAGCTGCCCGGGGAGCCCCAGGGGGACGCGGGGGACTCCGAAGCCAGCTGGACTGAGCCTCGGAACGCGAACCCGGAGCCAGGCGGCGTGCCGGCACGTAATGCACCGAGCGAGCCGGGAGCAGCCGCAGCCAGCTTCCCCGTCCCCCACCCTCCCACCCCACGCCACCCCGCCCCGCCCCGAGTGGGCGCCAGCTCCTCTGGGCCTGGGGCTTCCGCTGCTTAGAACTATGTGGGTCCGTGCACACGGGTAAGGTTACAAGTGATTGTATTGCTCATGCGTGGTAGGTCCCCGCACTCTTGGGTCTGCACCATCAGAAACGGCCTGGCTGCTTCTTTGGTTACAAGGAATCCACAGAGTTCGCCGACGCCTCTCACAGGTGTGGTGCGGGAGTAGGTACGTCCCAGAAACCGAGCGGGAGCTGAGGCGAAGACCCCGCAGCTGATGCTGTGGCTCGCGCCTCTTACCCCGCCTCTCAGGAGGCTGAGATTCAAAGCCAGATCGGGCACTGGGCTCACGCCTAGCTACTCGGCAGGCTGCGATCTGAGGATCTCACTTCGAAGCCAACCCAGGCCCAAGAAAAAAAAAAAAAAAATCCAATTAACCATTTTATCTACAATAAACTGAAAAAGAAGCAGCCAGAA